TATATAACCATCAAGGGCTGAGGGTGTAGCTCCTTGATAACAGTACTTGCCTGGCATGCAGGTGACCAAGGATTCCATCCCTAGTATGAAGGCCTACAAATGCAGCTTTGTGAAGATCACAGATTGAGAACTTTTACAGCTTGAACAGACTCCCCACCTTGTGATCAGGAAGGCTTCTTCCTTTATCTTTCCTCTTTCCACATGTAGAAGTGATTCAATCCCAGACCCTATACGGAAACTCCATTTTGAAAGGCCTTAACGGGAAAGGCAATCTATTATAATCAATCCCTAGCTGAGTATGATAGTGCACACCTGTAATCCTTACACTCTGGGAGGCTGAGACAGGACAAGTTCAAATCCTGCCTAGGTAACATAGTGACTTAGCAAGACTCTTGTCTCCAAATCACATGGTGGGGGTGGGGGGAGATGTAGCTCAGTGCAAAGGCCGAGGTTCAATCCCCAGTACCAGGGAGAATAGCCCCTGAAGTATCTAACCTGTTGCTTACAACAAACAGGGTTTGGGTTTTTTTATGGATGGGGTGGTCAACAAGCAGAGACACAAAGACCCTAGAGTCAAGGTGCTTCTGTACCTAGGACTAAGGTTCTGATTCTAAAATCACTGGGTCCCTGCAGGAGCCAACACCTATGGTTTTCTAAGGCTTGCATCATATCCTTAAAGGGCTCCACAAGCTCAAAAAGGTTAAGAGATACTGATCCAGATGATTAGGAGGGAAAACACTAGCAAACCAAGGATGTCAAGATCCTCTGTCTGTTGACTATATCTCCTCAGCTTCTATGGATCTCCTGTAAGACATAGTGAAAAAGCAATAAAGTGTACCCTTCAGATGCCACTTCTGCATCGCCACCTCAATTCTAGAGGCAAGCTGAAATGACAAGATGTCATCCATTATACAATAAATATTTGCACCTATGTTAAAGTAACATTCTCACAGAATTAAAGTTTTCCAAATAAGGTGCAAAGGCACACATCTGTAATCCCAGCTGTTTGGAAGACCAAAACAGGAGGATTCCAGTTTAAGGCCACCCTGGGGAACTTTAGCGCACCTGTCTACCATGTACAAGGCCCTGGGTTCAGTCCCAGTACCACAATAAAGGAGGGGGATGGGCCATTAGTTTTCCAGATTATTTTACTTGAGAGAAAGAATTTCTTATATCCAGATTGTTTTACTTGAGAGAAAGAATTTCCTAAACAGCTAAAGGAGGCAGTAATTGTACCAAAGTGGGAGGCTTTATATTCAAATTATGGAAGTTGCACATGGAGGCATACATCTGTAATCACAGCACTCTAGATGCTTGAGTCAGGAAGATCTCAAATTCAAGCCCAGCCTAGGCAATGGGCAACGTAAACCCTGTCTCAGAATTTTAAAAATAGGGAGAGGGGTGCTAGGGATATAGCTCAGTGCAAAGGCCCTGGTTCAACTTGGGGGCGGTGCGGAGTACATGAGGGATGGATGGGGAATGAGACAGAGACACAAATAATGGAAACATTGTAATGACACCAAGACAAGCTCAGGATCTGACAAGATGACCAGGCTGCCCCTCAGGATGGAGGGAATGAATGCAGTATTTGCTGACAAGACCAGTAACTGGCATTAAAGCAGAATCATATGACAGCAGCACACATTAACTTCATATTGTCACTGCTACTCCTCAAGATTCCCCCTTTAACGGAAGGACTTGTAAATTTCAACTATTCCTTCCTAGAAGAATACTCAAGGGCAAAATCTAACATGTATTTTATGACTAAGATATCTTCCTAATGTAGACAATTTGGGAAGAATATATTGAGCTGCTCTGAAAGCCGAATGATCCTTACCACGGCCCATCCATACAGTTCTGCTATGGATCCAGGCTTTATTAAGTGTTCCTAACCTGAGTGACCTCTTAGCAAATAACTTAACAGAGCGTAATACCAATGCCACCCAAGCCTTCAAATAGCTCTAACATGGACTAAACCTGTGTGCCATGAATAATGTTTAAACTGATCTCAACAACAAGTGTGCATTACTTTTCCTGTTCTGCCAAAACTTCTTTCCTTTTCCTTTGCAGGTAATGGACAGTCTTAGCAACATTAGAGAATAAAAGCTCAGATATCTATAGTCTTTGGTGATTAACTGCACGTGAACAAATCTATGTCTTGTCCCAAGTCACTGGGTAAGAGAAGAGGAGCAGGTAATGGACAGTCTTAGAAACATTAGAGAATAAAAGCTCAGATATCTATAGTCTTTGGTGATTAACTGCACATGAACAAATCTATGTCTTGTCCCAAGTCACTGGGTAAGAGAAGAGGCTAGAAGTATCATCTGAATTACAGGAATTATTTGCTGCTCCCATCAAGGTTTAAGTATGCAGCACTGTGACTGAAGGCTTGTTGTCAGGATTAGAG